GACAGCAGTCACGAAATTAAAAGACGCCTGCTTCTTGGGAGAAAAGCAATGACAAACCTAGACAGCATCTTAAAAAGCAGAGACATCGCCTTGCCAACAAAGATCCGTATAGTTAAAGCCATGGTTTTTCCAGTAGTGATGTATGGAAGTGAGAGCTGGACCATAAAGAAGGCTGATCGCCGAAGAATTGATGCTTTTGAATTATGGTGCTGGAGGAGACTCTTGAGAGTCTCTTGGATCAAACCTCTCCATTCTGAAGGAAATCAGCCCTGAGTGCTCACTGGAAGGACAGATCGTGAAGCTGAGGCTCCAATACTTTGGCCACCTCATGAGAATCATAGAATCATAGAATCATAGAGTTGGAAGAGACCACAAGGGCCATCGAGTCCAACCCCCTGCCAAGCAGGAAACACCATCAGAGCACTCCTGACATATGGTTGTCAAGCCTCTGCTTAAAGACCTCCAAAGGAGGAGACTCCACCACACTTCTTGGCAGCAAATTCCACTGTCAAACAGCTCTTACTGTCAGGAAGTTCTTCCTAATGTTGAGGTGGAATCTTCTTTCTTGTAGTTTGGATCCATTGCTCCGTGTCCACTTCTCTGGAGCAGCAGAAAACAACCTTTCTTCCTCCTCTATGTGACATCCTTTTATATATTTGAACATGGCTATCATATCACCCCTTAACCTCCTCTTCTCCAGGCTAAACATGCCCAGCTCCCTTAGCCGTTCCTCATAAGGCATCGTTTCCAGGCCTTTGACCATTTTGGTTGCCCTCCTCTGGACACGTTCCAGTTTGTCAGTGTCCGTCTTGAACTGTGGTGCCCAGAACTGGACACAGTACTCCAGGTGAGGTCTGACCAGAGCAGAATACAGTGGCACTATTACTTCCCTTGATCTAGATGCTATACTCCTATTGATGCAGCCCAGAATTGCATTGGCTTTTTTAGCTGCCGCGTCACACTGTTGGCTCATGTCAAGTTTGTGGTCAACCAAGACTCCTAGATCCTTTTCACATGTACTGCTCTCAAGCCAGGTGTCACCCATCTTGAGAAGAGAAGACTCCCTGGAAAAGACCCTGATGTTGGGAAAGATGGAGGGCACAAGGAGAAGGGGACGACAGAGGACGAGATGGTGGGACAGTGTTCTCGAAGCATGAGTTTGACCAAACTGCGGGAGGCAGTGGAAGACAGGAGTTCCTGGCATGCTCTGGTCCATGGAGTCACGAAGAGTCAGACACGACTAAACAACAACAAAGGGATGGAGAATTCAATTAAGTTTGCATTTAAAGGTGAATCTGCATAATTTTCACTTTCTGAAACAATGCACAAACTGAACACAACCATCCTTCAAAATCCACACCTCTCAGAATTTTGCAGTGCTGTTCTCCAGCTGAGTAATCTATATTAGGGCAAACACTAGGGCAAAGTGTGCATAAAGATGTATATATTAGTGGAAATAATGTATGAAAATGCATTGTAATTGGAACAATTGCTTTGCAAAACTGTGTTTATGAGATAAAATTTCATCCAAAGCTGTATATATTAAGAGAAGCTAATTGATGAATTGTCATGGGGACTTTAAACAAAATACTTTGCAAGCTGATGTGGAATGAGGAGAACTGAATTTAGGACTGGAAAGATGAGGCACCCACAACAACCAATTAAACTGAGTGTGAAGCACAGGACCAGGGGTCAGAAAAGGGATTATTATTATTATTAATACTTGACCCATCTGGCTAGGTTGCCCCAGCCACTCTGGGTAGCTTCCAACACATATAAAAACATAATAAAGCATCAAACATTAAAAACTTCCGATACAGGGCTGCCTTCAGATGTCTTCTAAAAGTCAGATAGTTGTTTATTTCTCTGACATCAGACGGGAGGGCGTTCCACAGGACGGGCGCCACTACTGAGAAGGCCCTCTGCCTGGTTCCCTGTAACCTCACTTCTCACAGGGAGGGAACCGCCAGAAGATCCTTGGAGCTGGACTTTAGTGTCAGGGCTGAACGATGGGGGTGGAGACGCTCCTTCAGGTATACAGGACCAAGGCCATGTAGGGTTTACAGGTTGGCACCAGCACTTCGAATTGTGATCAGAAACATACTGGGAACCAGTGTACTTTAGGACCGGTGTTATATGGTCCTGGCAGCCGCTCCCAGTCAGTGGATTCCAGTGGAACATAGCAAATTCTGCAGTGTTCAATAGTTATACATAGTACAGTGGTACCTCGAGTTAAGAACTTAATTTGTTCTGGAGGTCCGTTCTTAACCTGAAACTGTTCTTAACCTGAGGTACTACTTTAGCTAATGGGGCCTCCCGCTGCCACCACTGCACGATTTCTGTTCTCATCCTGAAGCAAAGTTCTTAACCCGAGGTACTATTTCTGGGTTAGCGGAGTCTGTAACCTGAAGCGTCTGTAACCTGAAGCATCTGTAACCCGAGGTACCACTGTACAAGCAAAATTTAGTATGAGCAAAGGAAAGCTTCCTAAGAGTTTCAACTTTCACTTAAGAAATACAAAAGTCCAGTCAAGTGCTGGGGAACTTTCTGTCCATAGTCTACTTTTAAGACCACATTCTGCCTTGGGTAACATGCTGAAGAGCAGACCCCTGCAGAGCAGTGGCAGGCAGGTACACTAACGCCCTCCAACTTTTCTCTGATTAAAATAGGGACACCCTATTCCATAACAACAACAACTACAACTTTATTATTTATATCCCATCTATCTTACTGGGTTTCCCCAGCCACTCTGGACAGCTTCCAACATATATAAACACATAATAAAACATTAAACATTAAAAAAAACCTTCCCCATACAGGGCTGCATTCAGATATACTTATCTCCTTGACTTGGGGATCACATAACTCCATACCCTTGGATGAAAATAGGGAAGTCCTAAGGAAAAGCAGGAGATTTTGGAATCAAATCAGAAACCGGGGTGACTTCTGTAAATCGGGGACTGTCTCTGGAAAATAGGGACACTTGGAGGGTCTGTACACTTACTCAGGCCTCAGACCAGCTGGGGGAGCATGAGGGGCCTGCCAGACTTACACTGTCACACCCCAAATGCCCTGCACCTCCCAGTTGACTTGGGACTCCCACCCTGGGCCTCAGACAAGCTCTGCATGGGCCTGCTGGGGAGTGCAAGCTAGGTAGGGTTGCCACATCTTGGAGAGCAAAACAGAGGACAGTCCGAGCCCTGGCTCGGGTGGGCAGTGGCTGTGGCATGTAGAGCAGCCCAAGCCCCAAATGCAAGGAATATTAGATCCTCTCTGTTTTAGGACCCTGTCAATCTCTGTGTGACCTTCTTCTTTTTTGCCAACTCCCTGACAAAACGCTTATGAGCATGTGCACTATTTCAGGAGCTGAACAGCACACTTTTGATGTGACCATTTGGCCGAAAAACCCTGTGGTGGTGCATGGTGGGTCTCTCTGGCTGAACTGCAGTGCCAGCTGTCAGGAAACAGATGCCAGGGGAAGCTTGGAGACATCTCTGATCAAGGAGAAGAGAGACAATGGGACCGGCTGGGCAGCCTTCCAGCTTGTGAACATCACGGAGTGGGCGCCCACTGCAGAGTGCTCCTTCAGCTGTTACGGAAAGCACAGATCTGTGCATGCAAGCATCACGGTGTATCGTAAGTAGCTATGAAGCAAAGGCTATTTTAAAAACAAAACAAAATGTGGTGTTTGCATCTTTTTCCTTTTCTCTAGGGAACTTGTAGTGGCTTGCTCCTATGCAGTCTCTGATCTAGGCAAATACAAAATCCAAGCCAGTTTGGCCTCAGAGACTGAACAAGATGAACGGCGTCAGGCCAAGCTAGTTTCCTTCCCAAGGGAGGATGGCATTGCAGTGGATGCCCCACAGCTTAAGATCCCTTCCTTTCTCAAATCCCAGCATGAGCAGCACCATTTGAAAGTTCTGAGGTGTATCGCCTCTTAGGAGTAAAGAGAGGTGCTCAAATGCACATTTCTTAATAGGCGTGAATATGCTTGCCTTTGACTCCAAAGGAGTTTTCTTGGGATCTGGTGGATGATCTCCTGATCGCTGTGGTGGCCCTTTGTTGTATGCATCATAAAAAATAGGAAAAAGAGGGACAGAGATTTGCATAAAATTGGCATAAATACATACATTTAAAAAGAATGACCATAGAATCATAGAATCATAGAATCATAGAATCATAGAGTTGGAAGAGACCACAAGGGCCATTGAGTCCAACCCCCTGCCAAGCAGGAAACACCATCAGAGCACTCCTGACATATGGTTGTCAAGCCTCTGCTTAAAGACCTCCAAAGAAGGAGACTCCACCACACTCCTTGGCAGCAAATTCCACTGTCAAACAGCTCTTACTGTCAGGAAGTTCTTCCTAATGTTTAGGTGGAATCTTCTTTCTTGTAGTTTGGATCCATTGCTCCGTGTCCGCTTCTCTGGAGCAGCAGAAAACAACCTTTCTCCCTCCTCTATGTGACATCCTTTTATATATTTGAACATGGCTATCATATCACCCCTTAACCTCCTCTTCTCCAGGCTAAACATGCCCAGCTCCCTTAGCCGTTCCTCATAAGGCATCGTTTCCAGGCCTTTGACCATTTTGGTTGCCCTCCTCTGGACACGTTCCAGTTTGTCAGTGTCCTTCTTGAACTGTGGTGCCCAGAACTGGACACAGTACTCCAGGTGAGGTCTGACCAGAGCAGAATACAGTGGCACTATTACTTCCTTTGATCTAGATGCTATACTCCTATTGATGCAGCCCAGAATTGCATTGGCTTTTTTAGCTGCCGCGTCACACTGTTGGCTCATGTCAAGTTTGTGGTCAACCAAGACTCCTAGATCCTTTTCACATGTACTGCTCTCTAGCCAGGTGTCACCCATCTTGTATTTGTGCCTCTCATTTTTTTTGCCCAAGTGCAATACTTTACATTTCTCCATGTTAAAATTCATCTTGTTTGTTTTGGCCCAGTTCTCTAATCTGTCAAGGTCGTTTTGAAGTGTGATCCTGTCCTCTGGGGTGTTAGCCACCCCTCCCAGTTTGGTGTCATCTGCAAATTTGATCAGGATGCCCTTGAGTCCATCATCCAAGTCGTTGATAAAGATGTTGAATAAGACCGGGCCAAGACAGAACCCTGTGGCACCCCACTAGTCACTCTTCTCCAGGATGAAGAGGAACCATTGATGAGCACCCTTTGGGTTTGGTCAGTCAGCCAGTTACAAATCCACTGAGTGGTAGCATAGTCAAGACCGCATTTTACCAGCTTCTTTACAAGAATATCATGGGGCACCTTGTCAAATGCCTTGCTGAAATCAAGGTAGGCTACATCCACTGCGTTCCCTTCATCTACCAGGCTTGTAATTCTGTCAAAAAACGAGATCAGGTTAGTCTGACATGACTTATTTTTCAGAAATCCATGCTGAATATTGGTGATCACAACATTCCTTTCTAGGTGCTCACAGACTGTTTGCTTAATGATCTGCTCCAGAATCTTCCCTGGTATTGATGTCAGACTGAGTGGGCGGTAATTATTTGGGTCCTCTCTTTTCCCCTTTTTGAAAATAGGGACAACATTTGCCCTCCTCCAGTCTGCCGGGACTTTGCCTGTTCTCCAGGAATTCTCAAAGATGACTGCCAGTGGTTCTGAGATCACATCTGCCAGTTCTTTTAATACTCTTGGATGCAGTTCATCTGGCCCTGGAGACTTGAATACATCTAAACTAGCCAAGTATTCTTGTACTATGTCCTTAGTTATTCTGGGCTGTGTTTCCTTTGCTGAATCATTTGCTCCAAATTCTTCAGGTCGGGCATTGTTTTCTTTATCGGAGAAGACTGAGGCAAAGAAGGCATTGAGGAGTTCAGCCCTTTCTGTGTCCCCTGTTTGCATTTCACCATCTTCTCCTCTGAGTGACCCCACTGTTTCTTTGTTCTTCCTTTTGCTACGGACATACCCATAAAAGCCTTTTTTGTTGCTTTTAACCTCTCTAGCAAGCCTGAGTTCATTCTGTGCTTTAGCTTTTCTGACTTTGTGTCTACACGTACTGGCTATTTGTTTGAATTCCTCTTTGGTGGTTTCCCCCCTTTTCCATTTTTTGTACACATCCTTTTTAATCTTAACTCAGTTAAAAGTTCTTTAGATAGCCACCCTGGCTTCTTTAGGCACCTTCCATGTTTCCGTCTCATTGGTATTGCCTGACGTTGTGCTTTTAGTATCTCCCTCTTAACAAACTCCCAGCCATCATGAACTCCCTTTCCTTTTAGTATTACTGTCCATGGGATCTCACCCAACACTTCCCTAAGTTTTATGAAGTCGGCTTTCTTAAAGTCCAGAAATTGAGTCCTAGTATGCTTGGCTGCTCCTTTCCGCTGTATAGTAAACTTCAGAAGAGCATGATCACTCGCGCCTAATGATCCTTCCACTTCTACCCCACTAACCAGGTCATCAACATTGGTTAGGACCAGATCTAAAATGGCTGTTCCTCTTGTTGCTTCTCCCACTTTCTGGACAATGAAGTTGCCTGCAAGACCAGAGCTTAAATAGAAATTTAATGCAGCTCACATCATGGAGAGTCTGTGGATAGTGGGCCAGTTCAGTCTCCTGTCTGTTGAGAGGCAGCTTCAAGGTGCCTTCTGCTCTCCCTCCTTAGGCTTCTTCATCTTTAAGCTGGCCTTGGAGTAGGCAGTCAGGCAAGCAGAGGACCTTCCCAATAATATTTGAAAGTCTTAATTAAAGGACTGTCCCCTGTAAAGTAGGGTGTTTGACCACCCTAGACTCTCCACCCTGACTGCCTGAATGGGCCTCATGCAGAGGGTCAGCAGGGATGGATCCTGGTGACATAGTAGTGGAAGGTTAAGGATGGCATGTCAGGTGGCAGAACCTGGCTATGTCTAGTGGTTAAGGAGGAGCCTGAGGGTCATGAGAATGGCAAATAGCAAATATCATCAAGTAAAGCAGAAAACAGCCTACCTCTCCTTTGTTTCTGTCCCTTCACCTTGAGTTCTTACTCTTCCTGGAGATTCTGCTGTCTATGGAGCAGTCATCCTGATTTGTTGCACAAAGATATTAGCTATTTATTGAGCACTCATTTTGATTTATTTATGGGTAGGTTATGTACAATTGTGCATTGAACAATTACCCCCTTTTTCTCATGCATTTCCCTATTGTGCCAAAAGCTCTGCAGCCCCCCACTGTGGTTAATTAACAATCAATTGCTCTGCCCAGGGAACTCTGGGAATTGTAGCTCTTGGAGGGGAAGAGGGGTCTTCTAATAATCCCAGAATTCTTGGGGGGGGGGGTTTAAAGTATTCATGAGTGTTTAAAGTAGCATCATAATGCTTTAAATGTATTGTGTGGATGTGGCCTACTTGTGGGATTTCAACAGCAGCAGCTGCCATTCATGTGTAATCCCTGTTGTGGAGGTGGAGGGTGATTAGCAAAACCAATCCTCCTGGCAAACCCAAGTTTAGGACATTCCACACCTTCCCTAAGCAAAGATTCTTTTTCTTTGAGAGAAATAAGTGGCTCATGTAAATGTAAACAAGCTTTAATAATAAACTGAGAGAAAACTGTAACAAAACAGCATAATGAGAGAAACTAAATACAACATGAGGCAAGTCTGAGGCAAGAAGCAAGAGGAGGCTGGGGGTCCCTCTGAAGGGAGCCCCCCTGGAAGGGAGGGGCTCATCCCGGAGCACAAGCCCCGCCCACCAGAAACCAAGCCTTCCGCTGCTCAAATGAGGCCCCAGTGTTTTTCTTACCATCCCATCCCAATGTGCTTCCACATATCATTCCAGAGATTCCAGAGCAGGTAGTGTTGGATCCATTGCCAATGATGGAGGTGGGTAAGGAATATAACTTGACATGCCGGGTTTTCAGCGTTGCCCCCGTCCAGAACCTCACTGTGACCTTGCATAAAGGGAAGGAGGAGCTGTATGTCAAGACCTTTGAGGACCACAGTGGCAATGAAGCCAGTGATGTTGTGGTGACTCACACCATAGCTGCTCGGCAGGACGACCACGGGGAGGAAGTCACCTGCCATGCAGCCCTGGACCTGAGGCCGGAAGGGCCCTTCTTGGAGAAGGCGGCCTTCATCAAGGTCCTAAAGGTCTTTGGTGAGTTGCAAGCTTTTTTATCGTTTGTATACTATTTCTTCTCCTCTTAAGAATGAAAATTAATTTTGAAATTTTCACTGAAAATTAATGACTTGAATTACTGTAAAATGAGAAAGAAAATAGCTCAGAATTTGAAGAATGAACTGGCAGAAGCTGTGTGTTTTTTACAATAGACTGTCACACATTAAGCACACACACACTTCTATATTAGTGGAATGAAAATTGGAAAAGTGTATTTAAAATTTGTGTGTCCAGCATCATGAGGACATGAGAATATAAGAAGTTGCCTTAGGCAGAGTCCAGTCATTGGTCCATCTGCCTCAGTACTGTTGTCTTCCCTTTATTCTGGTATGCACATGAACAGTCAGCCAGCGCCAAACATAGCTTACTGGGAATGAGCCAGTGTGCTGCTGGTGCAGGGTGTTCAAACTATGCCTGCCCTCCTCCCTCTTTGCTGCACTGAGAGGAAACACACCAGAGCATTGGCTTAGCATAACATGGGAACCAGCTTTCCTGGTTTCTCTCCCTCTTAAAAAGCCATGTGAATAAACGATGCAAGACCAAATCAGAGGTCGGAGAGGCATGTGAGGTCAATTGCAAGGCAGCAGAACTGGGGAAAAGAAAGTAGAGGAGAGAGAGAAACAGGCAGAGGAAGGTGCAAACACGTTGCCAGTGCAAGGGGGGTTTTCCTCCATGCCTCTGTCGCCAGCTCTGTCACCAAGGCAACTGGCTGGCTGCTACATAAGCTTGCTGACTTGCACTCCTTGTTGGGCTGGAAAGCGTGTCTTCAGCTGGCTGAGTGGTGGCAAGCAGCTGGTCCCAACACAGAACCAACCTTGTTCGTTATGCAGTTGGGATTCCTTTTGCTTTCACTTATTAGTACTGTTATAGATTTGAGGGAACCCCTCCTAAACCCTAGAAATTAATAATCATAGGATTTTGATAGCGTATTGAAGGGAAGTTTGGAGGCCAGTGGAAAAACAGGCTAAGCTTCCTTTCCAAGCTAGGGCCTCACCTGGGATAGAGGCATTAACATGACAAAAGGTGTTGATGGCCCATCTAAGAGGAATCTTGGGCCTGGGCAGATAAAGGTTGCCATGGTGACAGGGTGTGTGTTTGAGGTGGCAGAGGAATAGATAGTCTTTTGAGCAAGGTGTGCTGGGAAGAAGAAAGGGAGAACAAAGGGGGAGATCCATCTTGGGCAGGCTAGCTGAAGGCAGGCTGGGAGAGATGCCTTGCACTCCAGTGCTGCTCTGCTGTGGGGGACAAGCCCCTCTTAAGAGGACCATGCTGTAAGAACTGGACTCCCTCCACACAGACTGAAGGTGTAAATATGTGAATGAATAATATTTCTTAAAACTACGACAGTCTCCTCCGCATCTTCAGTTCTCCAAAGGAGCACAAGCCCTGGGGGAGCACCTGGAGCCCACCTGGAGTCTTGCTACTGCTCAGCAGAGAGTCGGGGAGGTGCCCAACTTCTGAAACAGTAACTTGAAATGAAACAGAAGGAATCAATAGCCCCCAATTATCCAGAGGCTCTTTCCCCCATTTTTGTCTAGTTTCCCAGCCTTTCATGAACCTCTTTGATCATATTAGCAAATAAATATTTCAGGAAACTTCAGGGCACTTGATGCAGTCCAACCAGTTTACATAAAGCTATTTTCTGATGCTGAAAGTGGCCACAAGAAGCTGGACCACTTCAGAATGCCTGCTCCCTTCCTTGGGTCCTACAGCTTTTCAGTCACTTCCTCTGCGCAAATACAGTTAGTTACAGGATGCTGGATTTGAGAGGCTCTTGATGTGTGCCAGTTTAGCAAGGACCTCATTCTCAGAACAAAAAACATAGCTTGTATTTTTTCCCCCTGAGTAACTACCAATTTCCAGTTCTGTTTTCAGGAAAGGCATTCTACTGCCGGTGGGCATGCAGGAAATATGCAATTATTATAATCCTGTTAGTGGGAGTCTATTAATAACTCTGTGACAAAGACACTGCCTGTTCCCCTCAATCTTTCTTTCTTTTTTGGTCTCTGAGCTTGGTGCTTTAATGAAGCTGCGAGGGATGTTTGACTCACAGCCTTTGTTCAAGTACCCTGAGACAAGCTGCCCCCAACCTCACCTGAGCAAATGGAACATTCTGCAAATGCATTAGGAGAGTTCAGTGATGAAAGGGGGAAATGCAGGCAGCTTTTCTTTGAGTGGTTAGCAGTTCACAAACACACAGAAGACATGGTAAATTGGTAAACATCATTTATTTGCTAGGTTTATTTTTCACTTTTCTAAAGAGCTCAAGGCAGTTTTCAGAAATAAATATGCCATGTAATTAAAAACACACCAGATTCTTACAAAAATATCATTTGGGAAGAACATCTAAAGCAGCAGTAAGAGGAAACCATGAATGACTGCATTATTTTCTTAATTTTAAAGTATCCACAAGCTGCTCCAATTCTAGATGCACATAGTTATGCATGATGGGTTGCACCAGAACACATTTGATCCCAGACAGACCTATTGTTCATGCTAACTTATTTTCAACTGGCGATGATTTTGCAGTTCCCACGGTTCCCATTACCATTCAAGTTTTCCTAGTTATTCATTTCTCATTTAGAGGAGGCAGCATAAAAGACTTTCTGGATCTGGACCCTTGAGGTCTAAACAAACCAGGCGTCATGATAAATATGTGGTTGGCTGTGTTCCCAAAAAGGAGCTGTCCAGGCCTCTCTGCCTGGCTTTCAGACCCCCCCCAGGCCACACCCTTTAGCACCTCCACATCGAACCCTTCTCGTGCCTTTTGGTCTTGCTGGAACTTGCACTGTGATGACGTCTTTTGCTTGCCTCACAGGAGGATGGAAAGATGTGGTTGTAGAAGCCTTGGACTTCTGTGTGGCTGGAAATGCAGCCTCTTGCATTGTCCATGCATTGGTCCGCCCACTTTTGCCTCTGGCTTTGCCCACTGCTGGCATGATGTGGGCCCAGGAACATAAGGAAATATGTCCCATGGGATAAAAAGGCTTCCTTGCTCCTGATTTAGAAAAATGGACCTTGTTTTTTGTTTGGCAGCCAATGATATGAAATGAAGCTGGGAAACGTGGAAGGTTCATGGCATTGTAAATTGGAGGAGGTGAAGGCATGTGAAAGCTGGTTTTGGTGGACACCACACATTTAACCACCCCGTCTAGTTTCCCTCTAAGGGCATCTTCATTTTAGAGCAGCTTTATGGCCACAGACTTCTCAGATAATGGCTGGCATTTGACATTTTGACGTACCGGTAGCTTCCAGTTGGCACTAGACAGCCAGAGAGCTCAAAACAAACACTCCCGCTCACCAGCATCTAGCTGGAAACCAGAGGGAGCATTTTTGAGTAGTTATACAAATAACAATCTTCTTCGTGGCAACTGCAGGTTTCCCTGAGCCTTCCTTGAAGATCCTTCCATCTCAGACTCTTGTGAATGATTCTGTGACCATTATATGCAATTCTTCTGATACTCAGCCACCCGGCATTTCTCTTCAAATCAAAATTGCTTCTGGAAGGACCCTGGTGTCTGGCAACCAGCTCTCTCTGCAGTCCACCCTTATAGCTGAGAAGGAAGATAATGAGAGGGAATTCATATGTGAAGCAGAATGGGGGATTGGTGGTGAGACCATCCTTAAGCAGACGTCTGCCAATCTTACTGTCTTCTGTGAGTATAGAACTTCCCTTCCAATAATGTTTGGTTTTGCTCTTTTTATGGTAAAAACATAATATATACACTGTATATGAGATGCAGCAGCAGATCCATACAGCTGTGTCTTTCAAGCAGCAATGCTCTGTTTTCAAACTGCAAGGTCAGAGGTCACATGTGTGAATGCCTGCCCCACATCTCCAGAAGACTTGAACAGGAGGCATAAGGGGTCTATGAGGTGGGAGACGTCGGGGTAGAGATCCACCTGGTGTGCTAGAGAAAAACGTGGTTGCACCTTTCTGCATATTTGCTGAATATGGAGGAAAGCAGGGCTTGAACAGCTTTCTACCTCCACAACCAGAAGAACCAGGCCTTCCCAAACTTGCCTAGCCTGAGGCATTTTGCCACCTCTGGCACCTGCCCTGTGTCACCTGAAAAGTGAATCCCACAGCATCTTCTGTGATACCACAGGTGGTCTTATGACAGCCCTTTCCTATTGTTTTCTGCTTCACTGCTGCCACTTGAATGGCTTATGCAGCCAGACCTCAGAAACAGATTGGGACGGTGTACACACCCACCCACAAAGAATCCGGGAACCACAGTTTACCCCTCACAGAGCTACAATTCCCAGCATTCTTCATAAACTCCAGTTCCTTTAGGGGGAGGGAGATATGCTTTAAATGAATGGGGTGTACACAGCCACAGTTTGCTGAGGCAATGTATGTGGTGCACTTTGGGCACTTAAACATAGGTCTTTTGGGGGGTGGAAAATGTGCTTTATAATTATGGTGTGTAATGTGCGTTAAATGTACTGTGTGCATCCAGCAAGCATGCTGGCTTATCCCTGCAATTGAGGGTGCCAGCACTGCATGGCATGTGCAACTAATGTCAGTACCCTGTGCAATGTGCTCATGCCATGTGCACACACTGTGCAACACGCTGACGTCAGTCGCACATGCTGCATGGTGTGCATGCATGAGGTGTGCACAGCCACCACAGAATTTTGAGGGGGCTGTCCCCTCCTTGAAAATTTGGGGGGCCCTCAGTCCCCTGCAAGATGGCACCCCTGGTATGCAGCTGGGGTCATACCTTTCCCCAGTGATACTGTTCTTCCTCTTGCCCCCTTGCCACAACTGCAAGCTGCTTGGATGCCAGCCTAACTGCTCTTTCAGCAGGTGCCAGGACACTCTGACACTTGCAGACTGCTGCAAAAACAGAAATCCAGCGAGGCCTATCACACTCCCCCTGCCACTGCCGCTTCACATGCAGTGATAATAAGACAGTGTTCACAGAATTTAACAGCCAGAAGGAGAAAAGGAGACAGACTTAACTCATTTGCAGTTTCCCGCCAGTCAGGAAGAGCCAATAAAATGTGATTATATGCCATAGTGGCTGTGTCAAGGACTCTTGGGACTGGGGCTGGTGATGGGGGGGTGGGCATGGCATCAGTGGAGACTTCCGGGGTGGCGCCACCGGCAATGGAGGACTCCCTCTGAATTGGAGGGACTAGCTCCGCATGAAACGGGTCTTTCCGCTGCGGCGTAGCGGGGACCCTTCTGGAAATCACAGGCGGATGAAGCCTGTGACCGTGGGACTCGGCGGGCACCCTTAGCGCCCCCCCAACCCACAAAGGAACCCACAAACGGGCTCCGAAGTGAAGAGGGGGAAGTGGCGCGGTGCTGTGAGTCAATTGCTTTTTCTGCGGAGCGAAGCCGCATAGTCGTTGCCGGAGAGCGCTGCCCTTTTCCTGGGACAATTTGGCATTTAAAACAACCAACCGTGAGTACTGGAACATTGAATATATGGACTTCAAATAAGAACTGGCGAAATAAAAAGGAATTTGGACTTAAAAATTAGCCCTAATTTGGTACTGAAACGGGAAGGTTTAAACAGGAAGTCACCCTCCCGTTTCCTCGTAGTCAGAACAAAGCAAAGATAACGCAAACTAGAGCCTTAAAAATCACTTTTAAAGGATCAACTTTCATCATTTAAAATCACTGAACCCCCCTTCGGTAGCAGGGGAAGAAGGGGGACCTTTTCTGAGCTGCTTAAACCTGCAGAAGTGAATCTAAAGCAAAGTAATTTTCCACCGTCCTGACCCTGGAGCGGGGTGTCAGAATTGACGTTTGAAGCTCATTGACCAGAAACAAATGTCTTTGACAGATAGTTAAAAGAAGAGAAACATTGTGACTCCATTGTTTCCCTTCGTCTTTTAAAAGAACAAATATGGACAAAATATCTTAAAAAAGAAACTTTGTTGCTATTGTTTTCAAGAAAAAGAACAACCAGAAGTTTTTCCCCCTAGTGGGGAACTGTGAAATTGTAACTAATTCCTGGGAACTTGCAGCTGTCACTAATTACAACTGTGGGAAAGGATTTGTGACCTTGTAGGACAATGTCTTCAGAAGCACCGTTGGGTGCTTTCTGTAAAATAAATGCCCTATTGGATCAGTTAAGTCAGAAGACGGATTTCATGACTAATGCGGCCAGAACCTTTGAACAGGTAGTGGGAAACTATATGGAGCCCACCCAGGAATCAAAACAGGAGCGTGCCATGACAGAACAACTGAAAGAAGAGGACCTTGCTGAATCTTGGGCGCCAGAGACGGAGGGATAAATGAACTTGGAAAAAATCAGACTTGGAAAGATAAAATCTGGTTTGGTTTGGAAATGGGGGGTTGGATAGACCCCCCTTTACAGGGAGATTTGGACTTTTCAAGTCTGGAAAGGGACCGTCAGATGTTTGGAGCTGTGGGGGCTCTCAACTTTGAAGGGAATCTGGAGCATGCTTGTAAATACTACATCGAGCCTATCCTGGACTATGGAAAAGGGATCGTCTTGCTGAAAAGGGTCAAAAACACTACCAAGCTGGAGTTCCCACGAATAAAAGGGAAATATAAAGAAGAGGTACGAAAGGGACATGGAAGAGACTTGAGGGCCTCGGATATAAGATTGCCAGGTTAATGTGCTAGATTAATAGGATAAAAAGGACTGACAAAACCCGGGACCAGGAGGAAGGGACGTTGGATGAAGACTGGATTGCTTTTTTCTTTTATTTTTATCATTAGGACTGTTTTATAAAATTGATGAATGTTAGGAAAATGTTGAAATGAAACTATTTGGCTCTTATAAAAATGTCTAAAGAACTAGGTAAGAATGTTATGGTTTAGGAGAAGTTGGTAAAAATTAAGATTTAAGTTTTAAACTTTAAGGTTTTCTATAAGATAAGATGAAAATAGATCAAGGTAATGTGATGACAGAATACTATGAATTATGGAAAGGATTTGCTGTGATTATTATAAAACAGGATACAGGAAAAGGGAGGAGGAGGAGGTCAAGGAAAGAAGGTATTGAAAGTGGAGAATTGGAGAATGATGGTTTTATTTTTTTTATTTTTATTTTTATTTTTCTGTCTTGTTTTTTTCCTTTGTGTAATTCTTAAAAAAAAACTCTTTTTTCAATAAATATCATTTAAAAAAAAATAAAAATGAAAAGAGTTATATTGTGGAGTGGGGGCAAAGGATAAGCCCAGATTCAATACTTCAGTTTCTATAGCCGTAAGTGGCTTAGAGGACAAATTAATTACTGCTACCTGTGGTACATCCTCAATGAGCGGGAGTGAAAATTTGAACACTGAGGTGTAGTTGCTTCCTTCTTAAAAGCTCTGGTATTAGGTCTACACATAGCTCTCAAGGATGAGTTGCCTCCACCAGCGTTATGTTGAACCCCAAGTCCCTCATCTCCTGACATAAGGCTGGCTCTGATGTGTCCTAATCAGAATTCAAAGTTGTAGCATCATACCAAGTGATTTTCTTGAAATTTGTAGTTCCCTTATTAAACCACCAGTACACCTGCTTGTTGTTGTAATTGTGTTGATCTCTTAAGAATTTTGACTTTTTAAATTCATTAATCTGCTCTGACTACTGTTTGATATTGATATCAAGTTCTTTCATCTTTGTTGCAAGAGTATCGACCTCTTGCTCCTGCTTTAATGAGTCTTAGAGTGTCTTGATACATCCCTCCAACTTTTCTGTCTCATTTACCTCAGCTACTATAATGAGTAACATTAGGTCAAACAAGCATTTGTTAAGAATTAATGACTGCTCCCTACAAAATGCTTCATCGTCCTTAAGAGGGTTGGTGCCTTTTGTAAGCGTCAGCCTCGAAGAATGTGTTCTACTTTTAAATATTCATTAAGCCAAACTGCATGTAAATGCATTCTCAACCATTTTCTGTGAGTATTAATACGTTAAGACCCGTCATTGGTCATATTGTCATATCCCAAATTCAAAGAAGTTAGTTTAGATGTTATTTTCTCTCTCTATCCTCTATCCTCTATCTGTAAATACAAACAGATGAACTCTCGCCATAATCCCCACAGAGTATAACAATACAATGGTGGTGATTCAATGAATACTGAATCTGACACAAGATAATATCACCAAGGCAACTATCTGTAAACAAACAATAAAGACCCATAAAATGGCAAAAGTAGTTTCTTTCCAAAATAGGTTTTATCTTGAACTATTGCAAATGCAATAACAAAGAGTCCACTTGTGAGGCGGCTTGTGACAATAAAATTCTGAAACCAGAGTCAGCCCAGGATTTTTTGATATCTGAAGCCGAAAACATAACAGGCAAGGCCGGCTCAGCCACAAGGCAGAGTGGGGCAACTACCTTGGGTTGCTCCCCCTTTTATGACAACCAGCTGCCTAAGGCAGTCACCTGATCTGCCTCATGCAAGGCCCAGCTTTTCTTAAAACATTCTCACATACACTTGCCTGTACCAATGAGGCTTAAGTAACCATCTGCCCAACACCACCCAAATGTTCCAGACCAACATTCTCCAACATTAAACCTCCCCCCCTTTATTTCTTACCCAAAGAGAGAAGAGCCTCAACCAATGTGTGTGTTCCCTCTGCACATTGCAGATGTGCCGGAAATGGATGAGTCCACTTGTCCCAGCAACCATACGTGGGTAGAGGGGACACACCAAACCCTACACTGCCTGGCTGAGGGGAACCCCAAGCCAACTGTGGTTTGCTCCAAAGAAGGTGTGGCTCACAACATGGAAAAAGAGGAACGGGTTAACCGGACCCAAACCGGCATCTATAACTGCACTGCCACTAATGAGCTCGGCTCCATCACCAGAACAGTCACCATCTACGTGGAATGTAAGTGAAATTTCTGTGTTATGAGCTATGTGAGGCAAGCAAGAATGGGGTCCAAGCTAGCCACCTGGGGACAATGGCTCTGAATTTAGCATCACGTATGTCAGGTGGAACAGCCTACTGGGTCTTGATCTCAAGCAGGAGCTCACGGTGTGGCAGCACCTTGGAGAGCCCTCAGTGAGCAACCTGCTCAAGCTTGGCAGCAGCCTTGTGCACACCCTGCTTCCTTGGCTCCAGCCCCTCCTGCCCAAGGAGCCTGGCTTCTGAAGTGGCCGCTCGCTTGCCTGCCCGTGAGTGCTTCTCTGCTTCTTGCCTTGCTTGTTCCTTTGACCACTGGGCAGGAGCTATGGAGTGGGAGGTAGTTGGCTGCTCAGACTTCGGATGGACGGACAGACGGACGGATGGACCATCTACTACTGGGGGGGGGGGCTTTTCAGCCCTAGGGTTACATCCCATTCTAGGCAAGCCAGTGCTGGATGAGACCAGAAGCAAAAGTGTACTGAATGGTGAACACCATTTTTACCTTTGTCTAGTATGCCGGTTTCCACGCACCTTCTCATGCCCCTCTCAGTCCTCCACCCAAGCAAGCAAGAAGCATGAGCAGGGCTCAAGTATACTCTGGGTTGGGGGGGGGAGTATACATTTTGGCCAGGCTAAATACTCCAGGAAGTTGGCCTGGGGAGAAGAGAAAGAGAGCTGGGTGGAGAGGCCTGCAGGGCTGCATTTGTCCCCTGGCCCTGGTCTCTTAAAGTCCTGGTCCAGGATCTGCAGGTGCAAAGCTGCCAGACAGGTTCTTCAGCTGGCAGTGTGGTAGACACAGACTTGATCAACTCATCCTCCTCCCTGGCCTTGGCTGTCACCTGAGGCCACATCCTTAATTATAAGAACATGGGGTCATTTGGGCTGCTTTTTGGTGTAAGACAAGTTATTCCTGCCCAGCTTTCAGTAGATGTATTGTCCATCTTCTCTCTCTTGCAGACGGGCCTCAGCTGAGTGAGTCTGACTGCCCAAGTAACCAAACTTGGGTTGAAGGCAGCCAACTGGATTTCATTTGCCAAGCTCATGGGGTCCCAGTTCCAGATGTTTCCTGCATGAAAGATGGTAAAGTGTACAATTCCAACAAATTGCAGAACATCACACAAAGCCATGCTGGTGTTTATCACTGCAACGCTACCAATGCACATGGATCAAGCAGCAAGATGGTCACAAGCAGAGTTGAGTGTAAGTGCAACTTGCACCTTGCATGCATGATGTGTGCAGCTGATGATGAAGAATCCAAGCAGAAGCAGCAACTAGGCATGTGCAGATGATCCATACTTTAATCCCACAGGTTTTAACAGAATGTAAGAGTAGACAACTGACCATAAAATTTGTCTAGCTTTATAGTGGCAAAAGGTGATCAAGTTCCCACCAGAAACGTAAGAAGTATAGGAGGGTATATTTTTTGCTCTGTTGAGGCCCATATGTCTTCAGTGGGAATTGTCAAGCAGTTCCTCTGGCTGCCGCAACTGTGAGCCACTATCAGGGTTGTTCTTATCCTACCATAATTACCACTGTAAAATCAGATTCTATTTTTCTCCCTGTCTTCTAGATGGGCCTGAGATGAATGATTTGAGTTGCCCCCATAGCTGGATCTGGACATCAGGGACAGAGCAAATGTTCACCTGCTCTGCTGGGGGAGAGCCAGAGCCAACCATTGAGTGCATTAAGGATGGTGTGACGTACAGCCCTGGGCATCTCCAGAGTGTCACCAGAGACTATGCCGGCACCTACCTCTGCACAGCCACAAATGTGCATGGCTCCAGCACCAGAGCTGTGAGCATTCAAGTGGAGTGTAAGTGAGCCCTGACCTTCTGTCAAATGGGGAGGCCATGCTGGTAGGTTTTTGAGTGGCTGCTTTCAGGACCCAGCCAAACAAAGTTGCATCGTTCTGTGTTGTTTTTTTCATGAGTGCTTCTTGTTTTAGCTGATTTCTGGCTCTTGGTGCAAGCAGCTTCTGACTGCTGTTTTAATGCCTTTGTCCTTCCTCCATTTGGCTTTTTTTTTGCCCTCACAGTCCTCACTGACCCACAGAGTGGCTTAGTCCTGTTGTTAATGGCATACCTGACATGATGAGATTGTGGGCTCTTTGGAACAAAGTTCTACTAAATGACAGTGTGGCAAAATGAAGCTGAGGGCTGCGAAAGAAGACAGAGGAAGGAAAATGCCAACAAGAAGCAGCAAAAGCCACCAAAGGCTGACTAGCAGTAGGAAACACAAATGCTTAGAAATGGGAGAATTTGGGCGTGAGTGGGTGTGTAATTTATTTCATTGCTTTGAATATAATTTCTTTAAAGTGAATATTGAAATTGAAGCCTGTTCATCAGAACAGCCCTAACTCTTTTTTCAGCTGGCTTATGATTAGTTCCTACCATTGGTCCTCTTTAAAGATCAAGCCTAAAACTGTGGAGTAGCAATAGGCAGGGAGTTTGTGGCCTCCTGGGGCAAAGGGTTGAGGCACACTGGCAAGGCAGAGGCCTGTTTTGGTTTCAGCTCCATTACAAAGAGGCATGGCATGGAGGGGAGATCCTCAGGCCTGGGTGCCAAAGGCAGCCCACTCTATGTGGCTCTTGGGAAATCTCCCCTGACCACACCTCCAGCAGCTTGGCTTCACCATCTGTTCTGAACTTGCCTCCTTAATGGGTGGGTGTTTCTTATGCAACATGTTTATAGTTTTTGCCCCAGCTGGTGGTTTTTCAAGTTCACTAACTCCAGAAAGAACTGCTTCCACAGCTGCCACAAAAATCTGTCTAGGAATTCTTGCAAAATGTCACTGTCTCTCTTAACATTTCAGATAAACCAGAAATGGATGAATCTAGCTGTCCAAGTAACTGGATCTTGGTGGAGGGGGCGCTGCCCTCCTTTATCTGTAAAGCTGAGGGGATTCCGCCTCCAGAGGTTACATGCACCAAAGATGGCATGACATACTTCCTTAGCCAAGGACAAGGGATCCCACTCTACAATGGAACCTTCTGGTGCAATGCCACAAACCGGCTTGGGACAGTGGCTAAGGCAGTTGTGGTTACAGTGGAAAGTGAGTGTTGGTTGTGGTCTCTGGAGAAGCAACACATCAAGCCAGTCACCCCCTCACCCTCACCTGGCATGAGAACTGGCCCTAGTCCTTGGTTAAGCTGGGTGGCATCCTGTTCCACTAGGAGTCTATACTTCCCTCCTGCCACCTACTTCAGGTGGGTTGATCTTCCCTTTTTGCCAGGTGAGGAGGAAGAAGAAGAATACTGTAGTCTGGGAGGTTTCCCAGGTTTTGAGCCGCTTTGAGGGGAATTTGTTTGCTTGCATATGTGTTATACAGTATATTTCAACCTTCTGCATCCAAATCTCTATGTTCCTAAGTGATACACTTTAGCTTTGACCCTAAGCCAAGCATCCAAGAGTGGCATCCAAAATGTCTGGTGCAGAAATCCTTACCAGAAAAAAACTTGTCCTTGTAGCCATTGGCGTGCTCTGGTCCAGGGGGTCACAAAGAGTCGGACACAACTAAACAACTAAACACCAACATGGTAGTCAATGTGGTGCCCTCCAGTTTTTAACTGCAACTCCCATCTTCCTTCACGATTGGCCGTGGTTTCAGGGGCTGATGGGATCTGTAATCCATGATATCTGAAGGGCACCATCTGAAATGTCAAGGATGAGCTAATATTAGCTAATAATTTATCACAAAATTTTTGGAAGCCTAAACTGAAAGATTACAAAATAGCCAACTGAAATGGCAACAATGCAAAATCTGTTTTGAAACCAAGCCCCCTCATTGCAGAGCATTAATTTAGGCATAGTTTGGTGGATAATGTAGCCTTCTGTGACATAGTTTGGTGGCAGCTGTGTACATACAGAGGCTCACCCTGCTTATGTCAAGAGGAGTTTCTTGTTATATCAATGTGTTTCAGCCAAACCTAAAATGGATGAGTCCAGCTGCCCAAGCAACCAGACCTGGCTTGAGGGGACTTTGCATTCGCTGGCCTGTGAAGCCAATGGGACTCCCACCCCGCTGGTCATTTGTGCCAAGGAGGGAGGCATTGAGGAGTTCTACAGAGAACGGAATGTCAGCAGGAATGACTCTGGCATCTACCAATGCAAGGCCACCAATGGCCACGGAACTGAGAGATGGTTGGTGAATGTGCAAGTGGAATGTGAGTAGGTGAAGGAATTTGTTTCACTAAATTTTTTTTAATGTGAACATACCTAATTCACACTTTCTGCAACAGTACACAAAGTGAAACACAGCTATCCTACAAAAGACACACGGATCCAAATTTTGTGATGCAGTTCTCCAATCAATTCTCCAATTATTCAAAGATGTGGAAACTAGGCATAAAAATGCATATATTAATGAAGATAACATATGAATGCATTTATTAGAGAACACTGCTTTGCAAATATGTGCATATGAAGCCAAGTAGCATACAGTCATGTGTACGAGGATAAAATTGCACTAAATTGCTGAAGAATTTTCATGAGGACTTAAAAAATGCAAATTGATGCAGAAATGTGGAGCTCAGCTTAAGATAAGACTGGAAAAAGTAGAAACTGAGAGAAGCAAAAATTGAAAGGTGAGTCATCAGTCTAAACCAAGGCTGGACCAAAGTCCTGGCCCAGTTTCCCAAAAATATTACAGTGGTACATCAGGATGCGAACAGGATCCATTCCGGAGCCCCCTTCGCATCCAGAAGCAAACATAACTAGCGTCGGCACATCTGCGCACACGCACGTTGCTTTTCACCACTTCTGCGCATATGCGTGATGTCATTTTGAGCGTCTGCGTATGCACGAGCGGCAAAACCCAGAAGTAACACGCTCCGTTACTTCCGGGTTGCTGTGAAGCGCAACTCGAACGTGCTCAACATGAAGCATATTCAACCCAAGGTATGACTGTATTCAATTTTCCAAGTGTCCAATTTTCTGTTGCTTTCTTTGGTGGGTGGTATTTCTCCAAAATTTTCAGAAGGCATTGCTGCTGGAACACCACACTGCAATGCAGCATTGCATTCCAGGTGGACTAAACCACAAGTTATTCATTTCCCCTCCCTCTGAGTTTTCCACTGATACCTCTCCAGGCTGGGAAAGTGCTTCAGATGGAGAAGTTAGGGTGATCAATTGAGTTACACCTGGTAACTCTTCAACTGAGCTTGCTAGCAGCACCCAAATATTACAGTGATGAAGAGCAAAGAAAGGTAGCCTCTTCTTGGGTTTGCTGGCTGACCTTAAGCCTCCTTCTCTTCTGTTTCCAGACAGGCCTGTTATCTCCATTCTGGCTGTCAGTGGTACCTTACCCATCAGAAGGGGAGAAAACTTTACCATCACCTGCCAGGCGGATGGGTCTCCAGCTGCCAGCTACTCCTGGAAGGTGCCTCAGGCCTCCAACCTCAACTACGGTGGCAACAACAGCACAGTGACTGTTGCCAGCGCAGATGGACAGAACAGTGGTGTGTATGAGTGCACAGCCAGCAACAAGCATGGGCAGCAGCGCAGCCAGGTGGAGATCAAGGTGGAAGGTGAGGCCCCATAGCAGAAAGGATTTGAAATACTGCGTGCCCTTTTGGTTGCATCTTGAGTGCTAGAAGTCAGAGCTAGACAATCCACCCCAACTGAGTGTTGGCAAAGGAGCAGGTCAGTCAAGACTATGTGAGCAGCAGGTGCAAGTGCTTAACAGGTGTGTGTCCTGGAAGCTTAAATCTATGCCAGGGGAAGAAAACTAGGCTGTCAGTATTTTACAGCAGGCATAGACATGCATACTGGAAATTTAGGATTGCACTATTAAAGTGGATTAAAGCACAACAAATTCACTTTTTAAAAGTGATGGATGGCAGCTAACAGATTGAAGATGAATCCCAACAAGACAGAGGGTGGGCAGGTGTGGGGGACTCCCTGGTCCTGAATGGAGTAACTGTGCCCCTAAAGGACCAGGTGCGCAGCCTGGGAGTCATTCTGGACTCAGCTGTCCATGGACGCGCAGGTTAATTCTCTGTCCAGGGCAGCTCCATCTGGTATGCAGGATGAGACCCTACCTGCCTGTGCACTGTCTCACCAGAGTGGTACATGCCCTGGTTATCTGCCACTTGGACTACTTTGAAACTACAACTAATCCAGAATGCGGCAGCTAGACTAGTAACTGGGAGCAGCCACTGGGACCATATCACACTGAAAGACCTACACTGGTTCCCAGTACATTTATGAGCACAATTCAAAGTGTTGGTCCTGACCTTTAAAGCCCTAAATGGCCTTGTATACCTGAAGGAGCGTTTCCACCACCACCGTTAAGCCCAGGCACTGGGATGCAGCACTTCTGGCAGTTCCCTCACAGAGGTGAAACTACAGGGAACCAGGCAGAAGGCCTTCTTGGTAGTGGTGCCCACCCTGTGGAACACCCTCCCATCAGATGTCAAGGAGATGACCTTTAGAAGACATCTGAAGGCAGCCCTGTATAGGGAAGCTTTTTAAGGTTTCATGTTTTATTATGTTTTTATATATGTTGGAAGCTGCCCAGAGTGGCCGGGGCAGCACAGTCCGATAAGCGGGGTACAAACAATAAATTATTATTATTATTAAAGCAAGCAAGCAAGCAAACAAACAAACAAACAAACAAACAAACTCTTTGTGGTTAGAAAAGTGACGGGAAAATGCACTGAAAAGTGTGGGGAGAGCAAGTGATAGATGAGTATACACACCATGCAAGCAAATCTGGATGGATGTTCATTGTTATGTAACCTCCCCAGAAACAAATCAGAATGAATGCTCAGCAAAGACCAGACATCACCTAACCTCTGTGTAAGCTTTGTGCAGAGCAAATCAGAATGAATGCTCAACAGGTTGTATGGAGAAGCCTACAATGTTACAGTGGGGGTACAATCTCCTGCCTCGCTTCTTAGAAAAATGAAATGCAGTCACCAGAAGCTGAAAATATATGGGAGAGGAATGGCAGGGTGGTGAAGAGTGGGAGTTCATTTTATCCTTTTTCTTTCTGTTTTTCTGTTCAAAATCACATGCACCCCCAGCTGTTTTTCCACTTGCAGGAGAAAAGATACAGACAGCCATTCTTCCCACCCTGCCTGCAAGTTGAAAAACAGCAGGAGGGAAGGCTGAGTGAATGGGGAAACACCTGGAGGAGAAAACTTTCCTTTTGTAAGGCAACACACTGAATACGCTGTTAAGAATACTCTGCTTCCTCCTTTGCAGATCATTGGCTTTACATTATTGCTGTCATAGCAATTGCTGCTGCCACCATGTTGGTCCTGGGAGGAATGGCTGGGGTCATTTACTACCTCAAATCCACAGCCTGTAAAAAAGGAGAGTACAATGTCCGTGATGCAGAGAATTCCACCGAAGCTACTTGCCTAAACCGTGAGAGGACCTGTGATGGTGACATCTATGGTATACAGCTCACCAGAACCTGAACAAGTCTCTGGACAGGTACCTCAGGCCTTGCCTGCTGAGACACAGCCAGAGAGGGATCGGTAAAAGACACCTTTCCTGTACAACCACCAGACTTCTATCACCATCTCTGTCTCTGAAGGAAGGGGTCATACACTGGATTATACAGTGCTCTGCTTCACTGTGGAGTTGCTGAGCAGCCCATTGAGAGAGACACCATTGAGGGTTGTCAGGGTGGAGAGCCAGTTTTTGTGCCCCATGGTTAGGGTGCCAGCCAGACATTTTGCATGGCACTCTCCTACATGGGTTTATCCATCTTCCTCCTCCCAGATTCTCTGTTGCTCCTGCTGCTGGAAATATGGAACTGCATTGTCTCTTCAAAATGGTCAATGGTCACTGCCATTCTGATTTGTAGTCTGTTTATACCTGTTAGCCATACTTCAAATGATTTAAGCATCATTCTGCTTCACTCTGGGAGGCTGCAGTTGACTGGGGCCTTGCTAAATGGGAAATGGCAGCTTTGGATCACACATTCTTGCATACGGAGCAGGACTTCATCATTTCTACGACAAGATGAAGAGCGCCATTTTTTTTTTTAAAAAAGAAAGAAACATACAGTGGTACCTCGGGTTAAGTACTTAATTCATTCCAGAGGTCTGTTCTTAAGCTGAAACTGTTCTTAACCTGAAGCACCACTTTAACTAATGGGGGCCTCCTGCTGCTGCCGCGCCGCCGGAGCACAATTTCTGTTCTCATCCTGAAGCAAAGTTCTTAACCCGAGGTACTATTTCTGGGTTAGTGGAGTCTGTAACCTGAAGCGTATGTAACCTGAAGCATATGTAACCAAGGTACCACTGTACTCTGAAGGTGAGGAACCTGAAAGGACATTGAACAAATGCACTTATAAATCATTGGTTACCCAGAGACTGAGTCAAACTACAGTGGTACCTCGCAAGACGAATGCCTCGCAAGACGAAAAACTCACAAGACGAAAGAGTTTTTCGTTTTTTGAGTTGCTTTGCAAGACGAATTTCCCTATGGGCTTGCTTCGCAAGACGAAAACGTCTTGCAAGTTTGTTTCCTTTTTCTTAAAACCGTTAATACCCAGGGTGCATTGCTTGAAGACTTTAGTGATTTTTGAAGCTTTTCCAAAACTTCTTTTGCAGCCATTTGGTAAGTTAAACTTTTAAAACTTTTTGGGGGGGTTTTGGATTTTGGGTTGCTTCGCAAGACGAAAAATTCGCAAGACGAAAAAACTCGCAGAACGAATTAATTTTGTCTTGCGAGGCACCGCTGTAGATTAAAATACCATGAAAATGTGCTTAATCTGGATTAACATTGTTCCATTGTATCGTAACCATCATGCTATTTTAATTATACTAAAGTAAAATCCATTATTTTCTGAAAAACAATATGAGGAAATCCAGCCAAATCAAATGATTCCCATTTAAATCCATGCCTTTCATTAAGATAGTTTAATTGATCGGCATATGTAGATTCAAAAGCTGAACCTTTCCCCACCCACTGGACCTAAGTATGATGAAATATAATAAAATCATAGCATTGTAGAGTTGGAAGGGACCCTGAGGGTCAGGGTGTAAGAGATGCTTATAGCTGAGTTTCTGTTGAGAAATCTGCCTAGAAGTTTGAAAAGGAGACCTTCCTCAGGGTGCTTCCATTTAAAGATCAAACTATGCATGATGGCAGCTGTTATGGCTATTGGGTTGTTCTTGTTTTTATTTGGATTATGTATTTTGTGCTTTTATATTGTGATTTTATTCTGTGAACCGCCCTGAGACCTCCGGGGATAGGGCAGTATACAAATTTAATAAATAAATAAATGCTTTTTTAGTCACACATCTGCTATACTTACTGCCTCCCTGCTTGCTCAGTCAGGTGCCTTTCCCAATGGTAACATACATACATACATACATACATACATTCTACTCCGCCCATTTTCCCAGCTGCTCTGGGTGGCTTTCAACAAAACATTAAAAACAGAATAAAACTTCAAACATTAAAAACTTCCCTAAAGATGTCTTCTGAAAGTCGAATAGTTGTTTATTTCCTTCCACAGGGAAGGCACCACTACCGAGAAAGCCCTCTGCCTGGTTCCCTGTAACCTCACTTCTCACAGTGAGGGAACCGCCAGAAGGCCCTCAGTGCTGGACCTCAGTATCCGGGTTGAATGATGGGGGTGGAGACGCTCCTTCAGGTATACTGGACCAAGGCCATTTAGGACTTTAAAGGTCAGCACCAACCCTTTGAATTGTGCTCCGAAACATACTGGGAGCCAATGTAGGTCTTTCAGGACTGGTGTTATATGGTCTTGGCAGCCGCTCCCAGTCACCAGTCTGGCTGACTCATTCTGCATTAGTTGCAGTTGCCGGGGCACTTTCAAAGGTAGCCCCCCATAGAGCGCATTGCAGTAGTCCAAGCGGGAGATAACCAGAGCATGCACCACTCTGCCGAGACAGTCTGTGGGCAGGTAGGGTCTCAGCCTGTGTACCAGATGGAGCTGGTAGACAGCTGCCCTGGACACAGAATTGACCTGCGCCTCCATGGACAGCTGTGAGTCCAAAATGACTCCCAGGCTGCGCACCTGGGCCTTCAGGGGCACAGTTATCCCATTCAGACCAGGGAGTCCCCCACACCCACCCGCACCCTGTCCCGTACTTCTGTCTTGTCAGGATTCAACCTCAATCTGTTAGCCACCATCCATCCTCCAACTGCCTCCAGACACTCACACAGGACCTTCACCACCTTCACTGGTTCTGATTTAAAAGAGAGGTAGAGCTGGGTATCATCTGCATATTGATGAACACCCAGCCCAAACCCCCTGATGATCTCTCCCAGCAGCTTCATATAGATTATTAAAAAGCATGGGGGAGAGGACGGAACCCTGAGGCACCCCACAAGTGAGAGCCCAGGGGTCTGAACACTCATCCCCCAACACGACTTTCTGTATAACAGTGCCCCCAGCTCCCACTCCTCTAGACGGTCCAGAAGGATGTTAAGGCCGCTGAGAGATCCAGCAGAACTAGGAAACAGCTCTCACCTTTGTCCCTAACCCGTCGGAGAACATCGACCAGCACGACCAAGGTGGTTTCAGTCCCATGATGAGGCCTGAATCCCAATTGGAAGGGATCCAAATGGTCCGCATCCTCCAGGTGTGCGTGGAGTTGTTCAGCAACCACCCACTCAGTCACCTTGCCCAAGACTGGGCGATAGTTGGCCATATTGGCCAGGCCCAAAGATGTTTTTTAAAGAAGTGGTTTAATGACTGCCTCTTTCAGCAGGGCTGGGAAGACTCCCTCACAGAGGGAAGCATTCACCACTATGCAGAGCCCATCACCCAGTCCTTCCCGGCTTACTTTTATGAGCCAGGATGGGCAAGGATCAAGGAGACAGGTGGTTGGTTTCACTTGTCCAAGAAGCCTGTTCACATCCTCGATGGTAACAGATTGGAATTGATCCCATGCAACTAGACAAGACAAGACTCTTGCACTCTCCTGCCCTGGCCCTGCTCCCACGGTGGAGTCTACCTCTTTCCGAATCTGAGCAACTTTATCTGCAAAAAACTTTGCAAAATCATTGCAGGAGATCTGGGGGGCCTTATAAGGCCCCGATGGCGCAGGTGGTTCTGTTAAATTGCAAACCACCTAATTATAATTTGGCCATCCTTGAATATTCTGCTATGTATGTTGGCTTGCCTCAAGCAGCAAAATATATTGGGCTCAGGGCCACCCCACCATCTGGCAGAGTGAGGCAGCTGCCTCAGGTGGCAGATATTTTGTGGCATGGAAGTGGCAGCAGCCAAGGACTTTCTGCCCTCTGTTGGTGGACAGAGCTACGCACTCCTTGCAACCTGGCCTGCATCCCCTAAACTAGCCTGCTGCCCTCAGGTGTCATGGAGGATGTCCTGTCACTAGTCTCCCCCCCCCCTCAAAGAATTCTGGAATTATAGTTTACAGAGTTACAATTCCCCACCTCTCTTAACAAACCACAGTACCCGAAATTCTTTCAGGAGGGAAGGTGCTTCAGATGTGCAATTTAAGTCATAGTGTGAGCAGACTCAGTCTGTGCACCATGGAGTGGAAAATGAGAAACTACAGAAATGAAGGGACATGTTTTGCACACCGATACTGGCTACATCTGGCTCTAAAACTAATGAACCTGTCATAATCCGGATCCAGGTGCTTTCATAACCAATATCATTTCCCTCATTTATTTTTTTACTAGAAAAATCTTACAAACAGTAGCAACAATACAGTGAGCGTGAATGGTGTTTGATCCTGTTCAACCAATGCAAGATTATTATTACTGAGCACTTGGAAGCTGCCAACATTTCTTCCTGAATGGCCCATGATGGCCCATTACGAGGGACACAATATCAGATGAGTAAAAGGTAAGGGTAAAGGACCCCTGACAGTTAAGTCCAGTTGCGAACCACTCTGGGGTTGCAGCGCTCATCTTCCTTTACTGGCTGAGGCAGCAGACGTTTGTCCACAAACGGTTTTTCCGGGTCATGTGGCCAGCATGACTAAGCCACTTCCGATGAAACCAGAGCAGTGCACGGAAACGCTGTTTACCTTCCCACCGGAGTGGTACCTATTTATCTACTTGCACTTTGACGTGATTTCGAACTGCTAGGTTGGCAGGAGCTGGGACCGAACAATGGGAGCTCACCCTGTTGCGGGGATTCGAACCGCCAACCCTCTGATCGGCAAGCCCAAGGCTCAGTAGTTTAAACCACAGCACCACCCGCATCCCCCTAGCAGATGAGTAGACCATAATAAATCCAGCTGCTGATAAAATGGTATTGAGAGACTTAAATAAAACAGCTCATTTTGATGGCAAAAACAGAAAGCATCTGATTATGAGGCTCCACTGGGTGGGTGAATTTTAAATGTGTATTTATTTAAATGTTTTCCTGAAACAGGAGTGAGGTTTCGCTGAGCTCATAGATGTGTTTCATGAATGTGAATGGCTTTCAAGCTAGTGCTGGGCCACATTCTGTCCT